AAAGCTACTGACTTGGACAAAGATCCAGGTTTTCTAAGCCCTCGCATCTGCCAAGAGGAGCCAAACTCCACTTCTCCCAGGCTCACCTGCAGCACTGGCCTCTTGACTACCCTGGTTTTGGGGTGATGCTCACCCCAGCAAAACAGCAGGCTGTTACCTTCTCTGCAAAATGAAGACCAGATCAGGTATCTTTTGCTGTGGAGACATTTAAAAAAACCAAACCCACCAGCATGAAAGGAAAAATGCACCTCTTCCCTGTCTGTTTGTAGTGCCCAAGTGCTGAGTGTGTTCACATTCACCATGAGACCTTTGCTCCAAGATGAAGCGTCTCAGGACTGTGTTCCTGGAGGGCAGGTAGGCAACAGGTAGCTTTGACAGAGACTCTCTCTGCTGCAAAGCCTGTCCTCGGCGGGGTCCCTGCCACCCTGAAGCTGAGATAACCCGGGTTTCTGGGCATGATGTGAAGGAGATCACCAGCACCCACGCCTGCAGGAACCAGGGTGGGATGGCTGCTGCCTGGGCTGGGCACCCCAGCCCTGTATGTCCCAGCAGCAGCTCTGTGAGCAGAGATCAAAGAGACTAAAGCAGTCAGGTTTGTGCATTTAGGAGCTGTGACTCCATAGAAATGACAACAGAGCTTCTAGTCCCGAGGAGGTCATCACTGCATGATGCATTATAACCAGAAATTAGATCCCTGACCCAGCATTTCAGTAAATGCACAACTGCACTGATATATATATAATCTTAATGGCAGGAAGAAAGATCAGGGCTCTGGGGGAAGAAAACCTCTTTCAAAATGAGACGAAGTCTAGGGCTTCTAGATTAGAGAGGTGATTAAGAGGGCAAATAGAAAAAGTAGAAAAAAGGAAGAACAAATAGAGATGTGAGATAAGGATCACAAAGAATGGAGCTGTACTCTTCTCAAATGAGCTATAATTTGCTGTCTGATTTATTACCTCATAAGTGAAGACAAAAGTATCTGTATTGAAGGTACTTGGACTAAAGACTGAAGTAGGATTGGCATGTGTGGGTATATGTGATTGCATACTCTTCACAGGCTGCTCAAGAATTACGTGTGAATAATGGGTATAGAAAGAAATAGAATGAAATGCAAAGCTGCTCCCGCTAGAGAGTTTCCACCGAGCAGCAGAATAGCCCATTTCATCCCAGCAATACCTTTGTCAGGGACAAGACTCTTGATTTCCTTGGAAAGGCAGCTCTGTGCTGAGCGAGGGAAGGCAAAGGCTTTTCTGAGAGGCCCGTAACCTGTCACCGATGTTCCCAGCAGCGCAGCCTCAGGGCACCTTGCTGAGCATCCAGCTGCCTGATACCATGGGTGTTTGGAGGCTGTTCAAAGAGTGGACATGGGAGAGACAATTCATTGCAGACCTTTGACACGGGTGAGCAGTAATCACAGCACTGGGACGTGGCACCCAGGGCTTGGTTTGGACAACAACAGTTCTGGAAAAGCTCCGGGCACCACACCGGGTGTGCGCAGTGAATCCTCGAGCACGCGCAGGAGCACGGGCTGTGTTCAGAGCCCCTGCCCACCCCGGGACAAGGGGCTTCCTGCTGCCAGGAGCTGGGCCACCGCCGGGGCCATTGCCGGGATGGGGAACAGTCACTCTTTTTCCCTCCCAGCACAAAGAGCAGAGCTTCACCGTGGCTGAAATTCACTTTCCATTGGGCATTTTTCACTTTTTTCTCTCATACCAAGTTATTTTGTTCTCACATCAGCGGGAGAGCACTTGGCTGGGACAGTTCTTCAGCCTCTGACGCTCCCATAATGAGCAGCGAATGGACCTGTGGGGTTTCGCTCCCCACTGTGTCCCCATCGGTAAACCAGCAGCCATTAAGTGGCAGCCCTCACTCCAGTGTCTCTTCCTGCAGCCAGTCATTGTTCTATGAAACTGGAGACTGTGAGGCTGCAACTAAAAAGAAAGGGGGGGGGGAAGAAAAAAAGGAAGGTCTGGGAATGCTCCTGTGTGTTTATTTTCCTTGCAGTACTCAAAATAAAATAGACTATTCATTTGTGGCTGCTTGCAGACTTTGTGAAGTGACCAGTAGCCAGTACTTGGTTTGTGAGCATCTCCTGCCCAGCCTGGGGGCCTGGCAGCCAAGTCTCTGGAGGTGCCTCTGGCCGCCCAGCTCAGCTTCCCCAGCCTGCTGCCCTCGGCCAGGACGGGCTCTGCACAGCCCCCTGGGTCTGAGCAGCTCTGACGGCAGCAGCCATCCTCCTGGCAAGGGAAATTTGCCTTTGCAGTGGGGTTCAAAGGAGCACAAGTCCCACAACAGCAAACTCTCCTGAGGGACCTGGCCCTGTGCTGCTCCTTATTTTGCTTAATTTAAACTTCTCCACAAGTTCCTATGATACAGTTAAGAGTAGCATGGAAAGTGAGGAGCAAGAAAGCATCTTAACTAATCCTGGGATGGCACTTGTGCCAGGCTCAGCTCCTTTTCAGAGCTATAATCCCTCTCTAGATGAAAGGGAAATATTTGCACTTGTACAATGTATCTCGTTTCCATTAGCGTGACCAATCTTCTCGAGTGGTGCTGCTGAGGCGATGGCAAACACACAATGGTTTGATTATCCCCTCACTGAGGGACGTGGCAAAACCTCAGCATTTAAAATATAAGTGTAGGGGCTCTGAGCCATCCAGGCGTGGGTGTTACTCACTAGCGTGGGATCCAGTTTTCCAGTAATCCAAGTGACAGTCAGTATTGAGTGGAAATTGATTATCTGAGTGAAGCAAGGATTAAAAATAGAAGCTTTGTGTCAAACCCCACGTATGTTTTGACTAAATCCTAGATAACAAGAAGAATGGATAAAAGACGGAGATTATACAGAGAACACCAAAAACCAAGAAGCCAGTATTAAAGAAGAAAAGGATTTGAGTGGGTTAGTGCAATTAATGATTGTCAAGTGCCATCCTCGCAGCCAGCTGGGGCTGCTGCCGCTTCTTCTGGGTCCCTCCTGCCTTACAGGTGCTTTCATGTGCAAACCTGCAAGAGGCACTTCCACCTCACGGCACTGAACACGCGAGGCTACGATCAGCTCAGGTCAAGGCTCGGGGGCTTGTGGTCAGTTTTTTGCACTATCTCCCACTGTAAGTCAATTATTTTGAATGGTTGGAAATTCTTTCCTATAATAAGACCTGGAACATTCCCAGAAAGGATGGGTTGTCTCGAAAAGGGGCATCCTCAGCTGTGTCCCTCGGTCTACAGCACTCTTTATGCAGGAAAGCTAATGCAGTTTAATGACCTTTATGTTTCAATAAACTGTAAGCACTTGAAATATATTTTTTTCTCCTGTGACTACTTTCTCCTCCTGCTCAGCAATTCCCCAAGGGATGCATGTTGGCTGTCCCAACCGAGAACTGCAGAGTTCACAGCCTAAGGAGTGTCTGCTCCAAATCCTGCAGTCCGCCCTGGCAGTGCCTCATACCATGCGAGGGTCTGTTATTATCACATTTTATAACATCTGCTGTGATTACTGTAACCATCTAAACTCACATAACACACAATTACTGCTTTCACAACAGGAAATACTTCACCAGATGAGGTAAGACTTACAAATAAAATAATTTTATTGAGTTTCTGCTTCTATAGCATGTGGCACATAAAGAGAATTAAGACACAAGGTGTGATGAGAAATTATGTATTTGTCCTTCACTGAACAAAGGATTCGTCTTACCCAGAAAAACAAGGCAAACAAACACCCTTCTCTGCTAGTCATGACGTCCAGTGAAGGCTCATGCCGTGACATTTAGGAAAATGGAAACTGAAGTTGACCTGAAAATTATGGCTGATGGATGCAGTTCTGCTAACTTGATGTGAGGAGAAATGGCTGCCTTGCTAGCAAATTTTGTTTTAACTGAAACCAAAATATTTGCATTTATTTAATTGAATTACAGTGGAGCAAACAGCACTAATGTACTTATTAACTCACAGAAAAATACACGATGAGAAAATGTCCAAAATCCACAGCTGCCTGCTAAAGATCAGCAGATCTAGCTGTGTGTGCAGAGCTGGTACTTGGGGTGTTAGAGCTTCATTTTTGGCCTCTGCAGCCAAGGAACCAGCAAAGTTTCATTGTTTCAAAACTTGGTCTTCCTCCAGGGTTTGGGACTTAGAAACTTTTTTCATTAAGAGGTGCTGATAGTTCAAGAAAAAAGCTTGGAAGATTTTTTTTTTTAGTATTGGTTGTGTTTCTGTATTTCCCTTTACCCTTTTCTTCACCCTTTGTTACTAGGGTGTTATAAGAAATAAAGATCTAGTGTTCATGCAAGGATCTCACCTATTTCTGTAATATCTTTCCCCCTTTATGTCTGACCCCACTTGTGGCAACGCAGTTCTCCCCACTCCACTCCACATAACATGGTGACGTACAGGGGGGGTGAGCAGCAGCTATGAAGGGGTCTTAAGAAACTGTTCATGCAGGTAGCTCTAGAGAGACTTCAAATACAGGGAAAAAAACGGTTTTTCCCCCCTGAGGAATCAACAGCACTTTTTATATATGACAAAAGGAACCTGGGATACACACTGCACAAACTTCTAACAGCTCATGAACACCTCTAGATGAACAGGGAACCCGTGAACACACTGCTGGATTTGGGCTGACCACAAGAGCACCACAAGAGCTGACCACCCGCTGCTCGCGGGTCAGGAGTCGTCTCGCGCGTCTTTGGCCGCTGCTCTTCTCGGCGGGCGCAGGCAGCGCAGCGGGGCCGGTCCCGACCCCTCTCCTGCCCACCCGCCCTCTCCGTGACACGCAGAGCAGCCGTGCACTTTTCCAGCCTTCACACACACTAAAAACTATTTTACATGTTATTTTACAGGCCAAACTTCCAGCTCATGTCTCAGTCCACCTTCTTCCTCTGGAAACAGATCCATACAGTAAAAGCCACAAAAAAAAATCACCTTGGGAGACATATTAGACAAAGACATATTTGACCACAAAACGGGTTTCTGCCTTTACTTACGCAGGAATAACTAGACTGGAAAGTCTCGCTGCTGCCACTGCCACTCAGCAACAAATTACCGAGACCGTAGGCCAAGTGATAAAATAACTTGGTTTAGTCCCATGTCACTGGCCACACTCTGTCTCACGGTGTGGGTGGTGGTTTAGGCGAGGGACAGGAACCCTGGCTGTCAATGCTCGCTGCCCGGCCTTGCCACTGGTGGGAGAAAAAATGAAACAAGACTAAGCAAACCGGAGAGATTATTTGAAATTCCTCACACCCCTTTACCGCGCTGCCTGTCTCCAGTTCTGCAGTATTCTTACCTGCCCTACAGCATCTTTCAGCCTATTGCACGCCTGTGTTTAACCACTCAGGAAGAATTACTGAACAATTTACTTCATTGCTTTGTAAATCAATTCACAGTTGTGAGGACTGCTCACAAAAAAGGAAAAATAAACTGTATCTGTATGTGCTATGAAGACAAAGTTTGCTCCCAGTTTAGCTTTCTGTTGTTTCCTGGTTTAATGTTGTTGTCTTTTTGTTTTAGAAATACTGTCTAATTGCATAATTACTTGAGTCTTTCCAGTCTGGTAATTTGACTGCACAGAAGCTGTGTCCACAGTGCCAGAGACATTTCTCAAAGTGAAAATCAGATCAGAGAGTCAGTGGATGTAGCAAACATTTTTTTGCCATACTTACGGGATCATAAATTATTAGTCATCTGCCTTGGGGGCTATTATTAGAATTCAAAACCATTATTCCTCATTTTGAGTCCCTGCCCATCTCACCATCTTGTTTTATTAAATTCAAATGACAAATGATAGACATGTCCCAGAGAGAACGGGAGGCACAGCACTTCCACTGCTCCGGTTCCTCCCCCCACATCTAATCCCTCCTCTCCTACATAAGCAGAAACTCTTTCCTGGCTGATATTAAGGCTCTAACACACATTAATTTTGCTTCTGTTGGTGAAAACTCATTTGGCAAGAGGAACTTCACCCTCTCCTTGGCAAAGGAAATAAAATGCAACTGAACCCGAGAGAGCAGGATGGCTGCACGGGGCTCGGGGGAAGGCGGAGGAAGCCAAACAAGCATTTGCAGAGGCTCCGTGCTGGGGGTCACAGCCCGTGGGCACCCCTGGGTGGGAAGGCAGCTGGCAGAGCATGTGCTTTGATGGTTACAAAGTGGGGCAGAGGTAGGGTCAAGAATTCGGTCAATTTCCTTCCCCAAAGAGACCAGTCAGTGTAAAGTAACTTACTGCACAGGCTGGCCTTACACAGGGTGTTTCATCAGGGCTGAGCACAAACGAATGAATGAAGAAGAGGGAAAGGCTGTCTTTCCAAACAGGCTGCCTTAAGGTAAGAAAACAGTTTGTCCTGTGCTTCTCATGTCAAAAGCATTTGCTAAAATCCGTGAGGAGCTGATGATATGGATACAACTTCTGCATGAGAATTACCAATAAACCAGCAGATAAGCAGAAATGACAATAGAAATGGGCTTTTGGCAGAGTCCTCAGCATGCTCCTTGCATTGTTCTGCCTGCAGTTACAGTGTCAACTCCAAAAATGTGATTAAAACTCTTCTGAGAGTAGGTTCAAGTGACCAGTGTGCCATGAGGAACCTGGAGATACTTTTCCTTCATTTAATTGGAAAAGCTGAACCATCCATTCTGTAATTAACAGTCAGAAACTAGGCACAGTTCAATGAAAGTCAAACATGCCCAAAAGTCTGGAAGAGGCTGGTTTTGCATAGCTTTAAAGATAAATGGCTCTTCTTCATTATGAGCTTAGCTCTCAGCAAAGTTATCAGTTTTCATCTGGAGAAACAGTTTAAACAAATAAACGTTCCCACGCTGAATGTCAGAGGGACTTGGCAACATCAAAGACACATTTTGCATTGCGCTGATGCTGCTGCTCTGCAGTATCAGACAGAGTTTGTCTTTCATAGATAATAGAGAAATTTCCAGTTCTCAGAAGTCCCCTTCAAAGTCTGGAAAGACACGCTGTAATTTTATATTTCTTTTTATAGACACATCACTTTGCCTGGTTGATGGATATGTTGAGAAATGCAGAAGAAACAGCAAGGGGTGGGACAGTTGAGCACACCTGGGAGGCCAAGGCCACGACACAGGTGTGAGCAGGACCTCGGGGATGAAAAATGGGGACAGGCTTGTGCTGGGGGCAAGAGGTAGTTGTCAGAATAACTTCAAAACGCAACAGCAAGTGGGATTCTCGTCATCTGCTCACAAACTCTCCTTCTAAATGGCTGTGTGAGGAGGACAGTGCTTAGAAGCCTGGAATTAATGATTCATTTGCACATATTCTCTTTTTAATGATGACGGTCATTAAAGAAGCGCAGTCATGACAGTTTGTTACCTGCTGTTGATAAATATGGAGCAACCCAAGACATGAAATGTAACAGGAGCAAGTTTCCCTAGAGACTCCAGCAATGAAAGAGAAGAAGGAGCCACACTGGCTCATGAAGAAAGGGCCCGAGTCACGCTGCTGACCCAGAAATGAGGTTTTTGGGCTGTGCTTGAACAGCATTGCAGGTGGTTCCCCAGCCTTTTCTTCACCCATCTGCAGCCCTGGGCTGTCTGGTGAGGGGAGGGGGCCAGGACACGGGGGACACAGCAGCAGGTGCCAAACCGCTCCGTGCTCCCGGGCCAACAGCTCCATCATCCGCCGCTCAGGTCGTGCAGTCAGAAAGACAATTCAACCCGAGCTTTCCTGCTTCCCGTTTAAGATGAAGCACTCAGTCAGGAAAGACCCCGGCATACGGCAGAGGCTGTTACTGATCACTAGAGCGGAGAAGAGCACGAGGATCAGCTAGAAAGCAAACGCTCCATTTGCTGGTGCCCAGCTGTGAACGCTCTTGGAGATGGAGATGAAGAGGAAGATGAAGATGACCACTCAGGATTCCAGCACAGCCTGAGCTCATCCCCATGAAGACACAAGGGTGAAAAAGGGATGGAGGGTCAGCAGCTTCTCTCCAGCGTCTGCATTCATGGGCAGATGGACCCAGGAGCTGGCAGCCCGTGGTGCCCAGAGCGAGGGAGCCGGGGGCGGCTCTGCCACAGCGCAGCCGCAGACTTGGCCCACACCCCCTGGCCAGGACACCCTCCATGTGTGTGGGGACCCAACACTGATGACACAGGGTACAAAGCCCACATTGCTTTTAAAAGATGCACAAACACATATGCAAAAAATGATGTGATTAGTTGTAGACAACAAATACCATTTCCCATTAATTTCTGTCCAGGGGCGATGCCTTTTTCTGTTTGTTTTTTTTTTTTTTTGTTGTTGTTGTTTTTTTTCAGTTTGCACTAGGGATTTGCAGACAGCAGTGCTAAAACTTAAAAGGGCAAATAAATACAGGGACCGTTTGCTTGCTGGCTCTGTGCACCAGCTTGTGGCAGAAATACCAGAACAGATGATCAGAAGCTTTTTTTTTCTTTTCCTTTAAGCAGAGCTCCTGACCTGTGCACTGGGGGGGGGTGAAATGATTCACTCAGGGTTTTTTTCCAAAGTCTTGGGGGCTCAGCAGTGGTTTTCAAAGTATATTTTAGAAGGTGAGTCATCCTATATGCCTCCCTTCATTCCTCTGAGTTTTGTCACAATAATTATTTCTTTTATTTTCTGTTGATTATCAAAAACTTAGAAGAGTCTTTCAGACTTCCACCTGCATCTGAAAAATAGAGTATTTAAGTCATATAAATTACAAAGAGGAACTCCTGCCCCTGGGTCAGACGTGGCAGCTGGTGCCATGCTGTGAGGTGTTCCGTATGATGCAGACATTGAGCTGACTGATCAAATGACAGATCACTAAGCATTTGTGCTGGAACTTGGTGGTCACTGATGCCCAGCTCTCTGTGGCACTGGCTCTCTGTGGCATATGTTGCCTGCCCAAACAGCTACGGCTCACGTGTGCAATGCCAGTGTTCTAGCATGGAAAGGCTGATTAAATCCTGGTACCACTCGCTGCCCATAACCATTATACACAAACTGCACATCGGTTTAATTCTGGTTTGATTTACACCAGTTCTGCACAGCTGACCCTGGGTGGTTGCTCCTGATTTACAGTGGTGCAACATGAGATCATGAAATGCCTAATCCAAGTGAGCGTGACTATCCAGATTCCTGTTGTCTGATATATGTATCTCCACTGTGTCTTAAACTAAACTATTAATTGCCAGGTCTTCCCACTGGGTGTAACTGGACGTGGGTCTAGGGAGCGAGGATATTCCTCTGCTATGGACAGGGCTCTGCAGCCACGTTCCACCTGTGACAGAGGAATGTCGGCCCAGGGCGGCTGCAGTGATGAAAACGGCTGCAGGGATCTGCTGGGGCGGCCTCACCTCGCATGGCTGCTGCTGCTTACAAATGCCTGGAGAAAGAAAGAATCCCCCTGATGAAGTAGATCTGCCTCTGGGATGGGCACGTCTGAGTTTCAGAAACCAGCCTGATGAATATGAGCTGGGATAGAGAGCACTGAGCACAAACTGCCTTCTTGTTAGAGGAAAGAGCAGATTTCCAAGAAACATAGGGTTTGGTGCATAGGAATTCAGACTACTGCGAAGGATCACCACACCTAGGATCTGCCTTCCACTAGAGCTCAGTATCTGAACTTCAAAGGGAAAATAAGATGCTTTTTGTTATGTACTTAGTCTGTGGCTTTGAGGGAAAATGCCTCCTTAGCCCCAGATACAGTAGGAGGTTTTATTGCCTCTATTATACTATCACTGGCTGCGAACGCTGGTTTTCTTCTCATACCTGAAGTGTCAATAGCACGTGTGCCATCTTCCACATCTCTCTCCTCCAGAATTTATGATCTAAATCAGGCAAAACCCAAACTGCTCTATAGAAGCATGAGAAAATGGAGTGGAAGGAGGAAGAAAATGCTAGAGATGGTCAAAACAGTACCCAGGCATTTCAGCCCTGTTTTATCATCTGGGGCTGCATCAAGTGAATCTCTTTCTCTGGAGATGCTTAGAGCAATTACATTTGTTCTATTTATTCTCCCTCAAAGGCTTGGAGATGAGTCAACAGAAAAAACTTTTAGGATGAAAAAATTGAAACTTGAAATAGGCAATATCCCTGGACAATATGTTCTGCAACCAGAACAGCATTCTCTTCCCTTACTGCTCTCAATCTCTAATTTAAAAAAAAAAAAGAAAAAAAAAGAAAAAAAAAGAAATGAAAAATAAAAGCCCAATATGGTAACAGTCACATCTGTAAATACAGTCCCTTTCATTCTTGCTTACAAGCTCAAGGAGCTATTTCGAGACAATACAGAGATGTTTGTTTCTGGAGTTCACTTCTGGTGAGAAAACTCCCTCAGCTCTTGTCAGAAATTCCCAAGTGAGAGCAGAAGCTCTCTGAAAGCCTTGAACCAGCTCAGTCATGCACATCACATGCATTAAAGGGAAAGAATAACTCCACACACCTCTTTGAAAGACTTCTTTACCTCCACTAATGGATGCCAGTGTGCGATGGGCTTGCGTGGGTACGCCAGCATCTCGTTCCAGTGGTCTCTGCCCAGTCCTTCAGCACTGATGCCCACACGGCAAACCCCAATGATCTCATTGTGACCCACTCTGAAGAACAACAGAAATGCAACATGATGATCTCTCACAGACTGCCTGCACACTGTCTGCCCACAGAGAGTTCTGCCCCGTGTTATCGGAGTGCCACGAGGGTCAGTGCCAGGGCACATGGGCTGTCGTATCTGCACGACAGTCAGGTGGTGTCAGCACATGCAGCCCCCAGCACAGTGAGGCACTGCCATCGCCAGAAATCATTATAACTTCAGAATTATTGGAACTGTCGATCAGTCCAGACACAGAATCTGGAAGGATGTGTGATGTAGTGGTGTACAGCAAGAATAAGTACAAGTTCAGAAATGGATAATTCATACACCAGTTGCTGCTCAGAGTGAGACCATTTGCTTTCTGAAAGGAGATTAGAGTTTTCAGGACAAGCAAATAGCGAAGGGGAACACAGTACTTACCCAAGAAAATGCCATAAAGCAAGAGACCAGTTTTACCATATTTAGCATTCTAGCAGGTAATTTTCCATAACCATAAATAACAATGACACATTAACAATAAATCACTGGAGACAGATTGATGCCACAGAGCTGTACAATCAAGACTGTGATGCTAAAGAAAATGGTTATTGAGCTGGAAAACCTGCACCCAACGGGATGTTTTCCCCTCCAGCTCTCCAGAGCCTCCCACCTACCGATCGTAATCCATGACGGAGATAAGCAGACTGACTTGATCCATGTTCTCTGGGGGAATGTCAAAGATTATTGCTTCATTGTAAGTGGGATTAAGTGTGTTTTTCTTTATGGTGGTTTTCTTCTTTTTCAGTCTTCGCCCATCACAGAGCAAAGACACTTTGACATATGGATCTGGGGAGGAAGAGAGAGGAGAAGGCTTTCTGTTTATGGAGGTTTATTTTGCTACTGTCACCATATAGAAACAGCATCATCCAAGGATGGACTGTCAATTACCATGAGCCAAAGGCACAGGTATGTTTGGAAAAAGGGAAGTGTGTGTACTTATTGACCCCACCATTTCTCGTACTGCTGTGAATGCTGACATGAGGTTCAGGCACTGGACAACCAGTACTGTGGTCTTGGAAGGAAAAATCAGCTGTTTCCACCAGTTTTTCTGCAATAAGGGTTTGCAAGTGCAAGAAGGTCCCATCTGGGACCAAGAGCCCACATTCATCAAAAGATGATAACGGGCACTGGGCACTCAGGCTCTCTAGCTTGTGTTAATTGCACGGCCACAGGCAGCAAACCCAGTGCTGTCTCTGAAACAAAATTGTAACTTTTGCAAAATTTGCTTAAAAGAGCAAAATGTAAGGCAGCATTTTGACGAGCCAAACAGGCAGAGTGGGTTATTTTACAGGGATCCTTTCCTGCACTGCTCCCAAAACTATCCAGCTGCTAACGCTGTGTAGCAGTTAGAGTGAGCAGGGGAATTTTAAAGGCCATTCTCCCAATGTCAGAGAGCAGCAGAAGGAGAAGGTATTAGGGCAGCTCTGCTTCACATGCTTTCCACCAGCTGATCGTAGCAGAATGCCCCCAAGTTACAAACCACTCCTGGTTGCTGTAACGGCTGCTCTGGCGATTTCAATGCATTTTCAAGTAACAGTAAATGTGCAATGTGCTATTGCAGAAACGCTGAGCTAGCTTCATCTGAAGTCTCAATTCTCAGACATTTCATATGGCATCAAGCTCCAACTGAGCAGAAATGTTTTCTGCAGAGATCTTTTACTGTATTGTTACTGCCTCTTATACAAGTCACCAATAAAATTCAAATAGTATGACATTGAGCTTTGGAAAAAAAACCTGCTTTTTATGTTGAAATCCAGGATTTATGCATGCTGAATTTGCAAGCCAACCCTTAGGAACTGTGAATGCATACAGTTTTCAGGTGACTTTGTCCCTAATGTTTGAGCACTGGCCACTGTACAGAGGAATGCACACTCGCCTGGGATTTACCCAGGTGGTCCACGATCCTTTCCTAATCTTGGTGTGAAATAATTGA